ATGTTTAAATTTTAAGGTATAACATTAGTACATTACTACATGTTTCATTTCATTAGTACATGTTTAAATTTTAAGGTATATTGTACAGGAGCACAGAATATACTATTATTGTTTATTATATATAAAATACATACACACCATTATTTCTCTTTGGACGGTGGTACGATGCGTGATAGCATTTTGTTCTATGTACGTCTGCATATTTCTCAAGTATTTTACCATGACTACAGGTTGTTTTGTGGTCTGAAATGTGACAGAGAACCTTTCACTTCCAGGGGTACCAGTGAGAGGATGCTGTGGGGGTGGCACTGGCTGCAGGCGGAGCCAGTGAAGCCAAGAAATGAAAACTGTTGAAGGGGGGGTGGTTGATTATATGGTCTATGTTATTCTGTCCTATCGGTATTTTCTTTAATATAAAAGCTAAAAAGAAGGTGTATTACAAACAGTATGGATACTACAGTTCCATGCTGGCCTCAACAAAAGCTGTGTGCACAAGAATATAAAAACAGCCTAGAAGGACATGTAGCCAAAACCACTGGTTCTCTTTAGGCTGGAACATTCTGAGGGGTGCTATGCTATCCGATGTGCTTTGGTGTATTTTTCAAGTCTGCTACAAGGACTTGAAGGTTGGTTTTGTGATAGGAGAAAAAAATCTCCTATAAAAATATTTTCTCATGTCTAAGTAGTCACCTAAATAATAACATGTTGTACAAAATGAGTGCAAATGTTTCATCTCGGCTCGAAGCTCTGAGGAAGGCTGGAAAAACCATGAATTACTTGAGTAATTACTTGGACTTTCGCCTTTGGGGATCTCAGAGCTGTGATACATGGATGTGCTGGAAGCTGCCCAGACTTTGTGGGTATGACCTGGAGCACTCACAAAATCATTCATAAAGGAGATTTAAGAAAAGCACACAACAAGGAACAGAACAATTCTGGAGTAAGAAACTACTAAATTTGTCACTGCCGAGTTATACCGCACTTGATTACACTACGTTTTCATCCAGATAAATGATCTTCCAAAATAAATTTGTAGTGAATTGGGGAATGGATACTGTTCATTTTAAAAATGAGGGCTAAGATACATTCCTCCCCTTTATTATACATTTGTAAGTTTCCAAAGAACGGGGTAATTTAGGGGCACAACCACGGCAGGATAATAACTTAGTGTGGGCGTGCGCGTACACACACACACACACACACACGCACGCGCGCGCGCGCAGACGCGCACACACACACACACACACACACTCTTCCCCAAAAAATGCAAAAATAGGAAAGCAAAAGGTAGCGGGTGCTACAGGGACTTATATAATCTTCTAGAAAAGATAAAAAGGGAAGACTTTTTTTCTAGGCACACTAACTGTTACATGAAATTACCTTAACAGGGAAAACCAGGCCCAGTTATGGCAATGCAGCAAGATGACACGGGTAAAAACAATCTCTCACTCTGAGATCTGTCTCCCCGAAAATTTCTAATTCTTGATGTTTCCATTGTATACTCACTTAGGCTACCTTTACTCCTGAGTATCTTCTCTTTCCCACTAGCTTTTAAGCCTCCTAAAAGGAAGAATGAAGTCTCTGAGTCTTCAGAATTTTTTGCATATGGCAGACAATCTACTAACTTGATTCAATCATCAAAATGATTTGGTATCATTGTAATATCAATGAGGGGATACAATAATGAACGATATATTATGCCATCCTCAATCAGTATTGAGAATCTAGGAAAAACGCAAATACACGTCCCATGGGTAAAAGCAAATACTTGTCTTTTTTTTGTGTGTGTGTGTGTGTTTTTTTTCCTTTTTTTTTCCGGTACCGGGAATCAAACTCACGACCTTGCGCTTGCCAGGCAGGCGCTTTTGCCGCTGAGCTAAATCCCCAGGCCGCAAATACTTGTCTTGAGATACATCAGTAACAGGAATCCCATCTTTTTAAAGAGGTTAGAGTTTAGAAGGAAAGGGATTATTACATCAAGGAGGTATTATACAAAGAGGTTATTAATGTCAATGAGTTCTTGAAAAAAACCACCCTACCTACACTAAAATTAAGGTAGACACAGAAAAGTAAGGTTGGCACAAGCGGTTCAGCACCTATGAAACTTTGGAACCAGAGTACCAACAAAAACATTAGCATCCTATGAAAATACTGGCAGTTAGATCTGAACTGGGATGTACTCTTCTTTGCCGCTTTGAAGTTCAAGGCCCCTGCTTCTTCTTTCAAGGTACAGATTCTGAAGGGCATGAATATATAATACAGACTATTTTTATCCCAGTTAATTCAAAGTTTATTAATTTATTGATCTGCATTACTCTACTGTTCTGATAAAGGGAAAAGTGTTTTGTGAGCGTCTTCATTTGTCCTTGTAGTATCTCCGGCCCCGCCTTCAGGGAAGATACCTCTGCACACCGTCTATTCTCTTCTACGGTCTATATATTTTGCTGAACCTGACTTTCATGGTGAGAAAGCCTGACTTTGTTACAAAGCATGTGATATGTTAGAAAAAATCATGCTGGGGTGAATACAACTTCTAGGCTACAGCACCATCATTTCTAAATGCAGCTCATGGAATTATGTCAGAGAAATACGCGATGGCCAGAATAGACGGTAAATGAGTAAACCAGGTTACCTCAGCCTGCGGTGGGAACAGCTATAAAGTAGTAACAACGGCAGTCAGCAGCATTTACTGAGGCTTCCTACAGGGTGAGGCACGACATTAAGCAATTTAAGTGGATTATCTCACTCATTCTTCACACAGACTCATGGAGTAAATGGAGACAGCGACTTACTGAGATCAAGCATTCATCGTTGTCCACATTTACAGAGCTGGTAAAGCTAGAATTTGAACCTAGATACTTCGGACCCTATGGCCTTAGTTATTAACCCACAACGAAACAGGGTTTCTGGTTCATAAATGATCCTCTAAAGGTACCTGGCAGTGTGGCCCAGTATTCTTTATCCAACTGCCACTGCTTGTAAACATTACGGCTGACACAGACCTAGAAAACCACTACGTGTTACAGAGCACTTACTTTTCCAGACTTAACTTCTCTGGCTAGGACGTGAGGGAACTCTTTGGACGTGGCCAAAGGAGAATTCCAGAGGCGTGACACCGCCTCCTCAGCTCTTTCCAGCTAGGTCAGAGGTCCGCTGTGATGACTCAGGCTCTGCAAGAACCTCGGAGTGGACACACAGGCGCACTTCTAAGTTCTGCCCCGGATATCTGGGTAACTGGAATTGATACCAACTAAAGACAGGACTTTGGGCACAGCCGCTAACAAAGGAACTTCTGATAGAGTCTCGAGTCTTCACTTTACTTGTATTCTCTGTAACAGAGAAGTACCAAGCACTTACTGTGCTCCTGGAATTAGCTATGGCAAGTGCTAGGGCCATGGAACTGGGTGAGCCATCATGGTCTCGCAGGTCCGGGGGCTAAACGCGGCGTGTTAGGAGCACGCGCCATGCCAGGTGCGCACACTAACTCACCCAGTTCTCCCAAGCCTACAATGAACAGCCTGATGTTCTGCCTGCTTTATCAACGAGGACGCTGTAGTAGCACAGCTGGTGAGCAAGCAGTGCAGCTACCGTCTGAACTTGAGCTGGCTCAGTCTAGAATCCACGTTCTTCCTTACGCTCCCTCTCTAGTGGAAGGAGCCAGAGGAAGTAAGAAATTATAATGTAGGGTAATCAGAAAACGGAGAGAGCTAGAACACTATGGGGTGTCAGTAGAGGAGACGGTGACTGATTCTCTTGGCGTGCTGGGGAAGATGGTGCTCCGGGAGACGTTCCATTTTGGCGAAGCCTTCCCAGCAGGTCTCCACGGTTATCAGACAGCAGAGGAAAGAGCCTGAGCAAAGGCGTGGAGGGAGCAGGCCCTGGCCCATGTGCACTCTGTTATACCCCCCTGTGTATTTAAACTGCACCAGAAAATGGGATGGGAGGCAGGAGATAGTTGCATAGCAGCAGGAACAGGTCAGGAAGAGAAAGCTCAGACGCAGAAGGAATTCCATTCTATGAACCGGCCATACCAAGGAGCCAGGTTTCAAACGGGGGAAAGAGCGAACACTGCCATTCCCCGCTTGGAATCTAGTTGTGGTGGAGCGGATGGCACGGCGCAGACTGGATTTGTGGAAGGAGGACAAAATCTAGAACTCAGGAGGTCGTTTAAGAGATTACAACGGCTCCAGGTAAAAGCCAAAGGAATGTGGGTGGAGAAGCAGCATGAAAAGGGAGATTTCTGTGCAGTCAAAGCAATGGGACTTGTAACGCAGGCGATGCGGGGTGGGGCAGCAGGGCTTTCTCCATCAAGAGTAAAGCCTGGTTTTTATGAAAACCTGTACGGGTGAAGTCAGCCCTAGACTTGCCTGGGAGTGTGGACTTAGAGGGGCACTGCCATTTTGGAGTCACTGAAGCTAACTGCGCTTAATAATTCATTCTTGGCATGTTCTGTTGGGTACCGCTGTAAGACCCCACTGAAAAGCAGCAATGCTTTACTCTGCTGAGGTTTACTGGTTTTGTAGTATATCACACAGTCCCAGAGCAACCCTGCCTATGAGCCGGGGGTGCCCACGGACAGATAACCTTACTGCTTGAAGTAACATTCAAAGATGAGTAATTTAGTCTGCTTCTCAAACTGGTTGGGAAAAATAAAAAAACTCAAAAGCCAAAAAGGCTCCATTTCCATGCTTACAGCTTTTCGCCTCTCTCTTGGGCAGGTGGCACCTGCCTTCCTGCCTCACTCTGGCAATAAGAGGTCAGCTCCCGGCGCTATGGGGCCTGGAGTTGTTCGGCCTGCAGCAGAAGCCCACTCGGCTATGGGTGAGGCCACAGCTGGGACGGTGACTCACGCTGGATCCAGAGAGAAAACAAACGGCCTGAGAAATACGGCGCTAACAGGGTGACGGAGGAGTACGTGGAGGAGCACCGCTATCTTTTCCAGGAAGCTGGTTAGTGAAATACTTCTGGTGGAAAAAACTACGAAAAAAAAATCTACTTACTGATACAAGAAATCAGATCATTAAATCTTTCCTTAGGAAAGAGGGGGTTTTCCAGCCCACGGAAATAGAGCTTCAGAACGCCAGCCACTGAATTAATATCATGGTTGCTCTGGTCATCGGCCAGGGGATTTTCACCTAGGGAAAAAAAAAGTGATTACATACACAGAGCTTCCCTCAACAAGTATATATATGTATATTTATATATACACACACATACTGCTATTCCTATATATACATGAATCTTTTAATTATGCTTTATGAAAGATTATAGGGTACTAAAATTAAAATAACTGCTTTAGATATCCCACCCCATGATTAACCTAAAAATAGTTAGCTAAAATAAGCTTTAAAAAAATCTTATGCTACCAAATACTCCCTCACAAGTTGCCCAAATCTTAAAATAAAATATTGTGGCATTTATAATTTTACCAAACTTTTTTTGAAGCTAAAATTGGTAGTAGTCTGACAGGACTTCAAGAACTACATTCTATGTCTTATCCTACTGGGAGAAAGACACAATAAAGGCCTGTCTATCTATGTTATATGGGTCAGTAAAATTTACAAGTATTAACTGTGAATGCCTACAATTCAGTCACAGGTGTTCCCCAAATAAGCACTGGTATTCACAGTACATCTGAAAGCACCTGGAACGGAGGCAAATTCTGAAATCTGGTAGAAGAATTTGAAAATGGAGCCTTAGCGGTGATCAAGGCATTTGCATGCAAAGTGGCTATTAAAAATGTATCACAAATATGAAATTGTATTTTTTGGTGTTAAACAGTTTTAAAATACTAGGCAACTATACTGGCTAGTCCATCTTTCTGAGAATGAACCTGAGATAAAATCCTGGAAAGGGCCAGCATAATATGAATAGCCTTAAATCAAACTCCATTTTAAAATTCACCGGCCTACTAAAATTCTCAGAGCGTGTGCACTGGACTTTAACATACTGCTTGCCTCTAAGGGCACTTTTTTGTAGAGGAGCCCCTAAGGGCAAGAGTACTTAACATGAACTCATCAGAGTTGTTATTTTGTTTTTTTGCCTACTGTGAGAAACCCACACCCAAAGATATTGCAAACAAATAAAAAATACAGGGAAATTTCCAAGGAAAAATAACAGAGCATTCCTTCTGCCTGTAGCGGCTGGCACAGAACCGGATGCTTCACCACATTTCACCTTGTCATCCTGAGCACAGTTGCTGGCAGAGAGCTACTGAGGGGGATGCAGCTCTGCTCTAAATCCCTACTGGTCAGAGGACCTGGGCCAGGAAAGAATTACATGGCTCCAGTTTAGCCCTTCAACCACGGCTTCAAACGTTAGAGGGTTCTGCACCGCACTGAGACCAGGGGAAACGGGACAGAGAGAGAATGCAGCTCTTCTCCATGGGACGACCAGCCTGCATGTTTGCCTTGACTTCCAAACGCAGGAAGGAAGGCACAGACGTACCCAGACGAGGATGCCATACACATGATCATATTTGGAGAGCATTTATAACTGACAGCTACCATGAAAGGGCTTGACGTTTTCACAGATTATGTCTAACCCTCATAATCTGCAATGGCGCTTTGGGGAAACTGAGACCTGAGGAGTAACTGAGTCCCCTGCCTCAAACCCCATTACGAGTAAATGAGACTCTGATCTGATTCCAGGTCTTCCTAGCACTGAAGCATATGGTTTTGCTGATCAATACATTAACCGAACGTTTGGTAGTATTTACGGACAGCCACTCATGAACAGGAATAAGGCGCCAACTGCGTCGCGTGGAAGGAGCCCGGAACGGAGGAAGAGAAAGGAAAGAGCTCCTGACGAGGGAAGCAGGGGTGAGAGCAGCTGCCCCGACACCCGCTGACCAGGCCAGGCCGCCCCAGCGTCTTCCGGAGGCCTTTCAGGGCCGTCCTGACACACGTGTCACGGCGGTGACTGTCAGGATACAGAGCTCACATGCTTCTCTACCTTTATTTGTTTGTTTTTTTTTTTTTTTGGTTTTTGGTTTTTCTCCGGTACCGGGAACCGAACTCACAACCTCGCGCTTGCCAGGCAGGCGCTTTTGCCGCTGAGCTAAATCCCCAGCCCCGCTTCTCTACCTTTAGTAAGAAGACTCGATCTGGGTCTTATTCTTTAGCTACTCTGAACGGCCCTTTACGCTGGCACCCACGACGAAGTGAACACACAGACGAAGGCTTGGACGCCACCGCGCAGTACAGAATAGTGACTTTGAAAGGCCTTCGCTTACAGGTAAGATACTCAGTTACCTCTCTCAAATGAGTTTTTAATATCGTTGACTTCCACTTGGGAACCAGACACTCGGAAAATCCCTTGATGCTGAAGACCTAAAGGCAACAACAGAGAAAGAGGATGAGAAACCCGCCACGTTCTTTAGGTCTCTTTTTCCCCCACAAAGTAAGTATTGCATGAACAGACACGTTTGTGGAGACACTCTCATGGCTGTTTTCTAAACAACAATTCTGTAGTGTGCGGCTTACCATAGAGATTGATGAATCGAATACAGCTCTCCACTATGAGGGGGATAGCCTGGCCTGAGTCCTGCGCAGAGAGATGGCGGTCAGTTAGCTCCCGAGCGAAGTGTTGGAATTAAATCACAAGAAACCTCACCGTCCAACAGTAACTACCGTTTTACCCTTTTGGATGACCCTTTCCAAATCCCCCCCTTTCAAGCTTTTGTAAGACACCCTCCAAAAGGGTGAAAGAATTTGATATTTAAACAAAGGTATACTTCAGTTCTGCAGCAAACCAAATTAAATACATTTAACACACGAAGGCAACACTGTGTCAGCTTAGCTTGCTGTGCCTGGGATGTCAAAAGCTGTATCGTCCCTTTTCTGTATCTTTAGGCTGACGTATCAACAGGAGTCACTCATTTTTGGCAAGGTTCTGATACAAGTGCTCCGTCTTCGATGGACAGGTAAAGAACGCTGGAGGACTAGGTGCATCCTCCCCACAAGACAGCCTGCCAGCCCTCCCGGCACCCCCTGCACCGCGTCCCTGAGAGTACGGGGCCTCCGTGGTGACTGGGACCTGATAAGGGAGCCGTCTCACGCGTCACTGAAGTGCGTCGTGTATTTACTTAGTTTGCCTCAGAACTTACTCAACCTTAAAGACTTTCCATATTTTTAGCATTAAGGAAAGTTGCACAAATGTATATCCCATTAGATGTCATTTTCTTAGGAAGGAAGCTTTTTCTTGGTCTTCTTGCCCACATGTTGTAAAATAATCAGTGCCCTCTACTAAGTAAATGTAAATGTGGGAAGTGCTTCTAAACATGTACGGATGACAGATGAGATGAGGGAGGCGGTGAGGCCACGGTTAGGTATGTGCCAATGCCATGCTCTCCGGGGAGTTAATGAAAGTTACCGAATTTGGATTTATTTTTCTTACATTTTTAAGACTCTCATCTTTCAGGAATTAAATCTTTAAAGAAAACAAGATTCAAAAATGATGAGCTCAAACATTTTCTTTTCTTTTGTTTTTGTTTTTTGTCTTTTTGAGACAGGGTCTCACTATGCAGTTCAGGCTGGTCTTGAACTCACTTTGTAGCCCAGGCTGGCCTCGAACTCACAGCGATCCTCCTGCCTCAGCCTCCCAAGTGCTGGGATTACAGGTGTGCGCCACCACAACCGGCTAGAAATTTTATTTTCTCATGAAATAAACAATAAGATGTTAGTTGCCTTTATATATTAGAACGACTCAGTATTCACTAACTTTCCCAATTAAGCAGTAGATTAAAGATTGCGAATAATGCAGTTCAGCAATTTAAATTCTTCATCGTTTCTAGAACGGGTAATGGATCTTTTAAGGAATAGTCTTTTTTGAGTTTTAAGACAATATAATCAGTATATAATGGCTCAGGTATTTGGGGCCTGCATTCAGTCTCTCTAATTAGTTAATTTGTTTTCGAGCATACATTTTATTAATTCCTTCAAGAAGAGCCTTAAGAATAAAAACACATCTCAGTGCGGACTAGCTGGCTCAAGATAGCAATGTAGTTACATCGAAATGTACTGAATGTGTGAAAGGCTTTTTCTTTAAGATACAAGCGTATTTTAGGGGAAGTAACCTTTATCACAACAGTTCATGTAACACTGTGATATAAATAAGCAACGAGTATTTAAATGTAAGGGATGAAAAGAGAGTATTAGTTTACACCTCTGCTGAACTTAGTACTAAAACATGAAGAAAAACAAAGAAGAAATATTAAAAGGAAAATGTTTGCACTAAGAAAGTTCTAAATAAAAGTCTTAAGTTTTCATACTATTTAAACATATTTTTAAAATCACTCAGGTGATTGCTAGTCTTTTAGCTATGACTGGTATTTCATTCAGATATAATGAATTCTGTAGCCAGAAGTCTTAAGTTTTCATACTATTTAAAAATGTTTTTAAAATTACTCAGGTGATTGCTAATCTTTTATCTTCGACTGGTATTTCACTCAGAAAAATGAATTCTGCAGCCAAAAGCTGTGTGTGTGTGTGTGTGTGTGTGTGTGTGTGTGTGTGTTTAATTTCATGGATGCCAGATGCTTCAGTAGGAAACATTTTACAAGAAGTAAAATGAGGAGCTGCACCCCAGGCCCGTGCCCATAAACCTCCGTGTGTCTATTTCCCTACAGGGGAAACGACTTTACCCAGACTCTCTCCCAGGGACATGGAGGAGATCTCATCTGGACAAGAGAGAGACCTCTGTCCCCCTGTGTGTCACCGCCACCACCAAAGATTCCTCCGCGTGCACCTGGGGAGAGGAAGCGCTCACAGAAGTGAATTTTCCATGAGAGCCGCTTCATTCCTTTGTCAATACTTCCATGCGCTTTCCTTTAGCTGCACCGAGGAAAATCTTTTTAGAAACGTAACAGGTGTGCTTTGTTATCTGCTAAACAGCCCCCTCACACCTGCCTCCTGCAGCCTCCCACAGTCTCCTCCTCGGCCAGGCCGTCAGCTGCGCATCTTGCTGCCTTCACTTCACTCTTTCCTCCTCCCCATCTAATGTGCCCCTGCTTACAAGCCATGGGCTGGGAAACTAGATAATCAAATTGGACAATAACTTTATGTTAAATTAGAGCTAATCAGGCTCTTCTGGGTTGAAGGCTCAAGGCAATGCGTTTGTGATTGGCATTTAGGTGATCCAGTGGTTTTCACCTAATTTCAAAGTTAGAAGCCATTTTTACAGCTGCCGGAGCTTTGTATGTATGTATGTACGTATGTATGCATTTAGTTATCCATCTATATCATATGTGCGTATACTTACACTTGCTTGCTTATTTATTTATTTGTCTTTTTGAGACAGGGTCTCGCTATGCAGTTCAGGCCGGCCTTGAGCTCACTTTGTAGCCCATGCTGGCTTTGAACTTACAACGATCCTCCTGCCTCAGCCTCCCGAGTGCTGGGATTACAGGCATGCACCACCATGCCCGGCTTACACATGCTTATTTAAAAATAATGAGTGCACATATTCAGTAAGCAGGCACGTATTTAAAGAAAGATCTCTGGAAGATGCCAATTAAGGGAGGTTATTAAAAAATGTGATTTCCCACATAAATTTAGTCTTCAAGAACACTGCAGCCCATGTCATAAAATGGGAGCTATGAAGCAGAAAGAAAGCCCCTTTTTAAAAATATAATTTGCGCTGGAATCCATCTCATGTTAAATGTGTACCCGCTATTTAACACTGACTTTCCTCTGTAAAATTCCTTCCCTCAAATTTCATACGTTTGCCAAATGCAGTGTAAAAACGGAGAGTTTAATTTATCTGCTTTTGCCTCTTAAGCTCGTGTTTGATTTCTACAGTTCCTTTCTAAGTAAAGCCTATGCATAAGGCTGTCTAATTTCCAACTGCAAACATTTTTCTTTTAAAAGACCTTGAGAAGTCTACCCGAAGCCAAGCATGAGTGTGACTCGGAGAGGACACCAGCACGAAGGAGGCCGCGCCCTCCCCGCCCGCTGGCACTGTACCTGATGTCTCGTGTGCGAGTTCCTTCGTCCTCGGCTAGAAGCATTACCAGAAAGGCAGGGTGAAAAAGAAGACAGAATAAACACAGCAGAGATACAGGACACAGACCACAGGGCCTTCCGATTCGTCCAATATAATGAATTCCTCAAGTCACAGGAAATCAAGACTCTTGGTGTGCTTCAGAGAGCGACTAACAAATGGATGTTTAAAATGTATTTTAGGCTGTCTCCTTTGCATGCATAGAAATAACGACTTTGCTCTTGTGTCCCCTTTCCTTTTTGTACAAATTATGGCTTCGAAGAAAATTTTAAAAAGGGTTTCTTTTTTGGCCACATAATAACATCCACATTTATTTCCTTTTCTGAAGACACTCAACCCAAATAGTCTTTCCTCTCTGACTTCAGGAAATATTATATTGATTTTCTGGGAAAGCAGAGAGCCCCAGGACAGACTCGGACGTAATGACCGGCCTCGTGCGCTGCGAGGCTGAGATCATTACGGGAGACGCGCGGAGATCAGCCACCCAGGTGGCTGGGGCCAGTACCTTGACGAATGTTTCCAAATCCCCATTAAACAACTTAGCATTATACTGTGAGCGGGGTCGGGACTTCCTGTGTTTCTGGGGCTTAGGGGGAACATTTGGAGGCCTAAGGGAAGGGAATATAATTACTGAGCATAGCAGAAATCAAACAGTAAGTGAAAAACTCACAGGTCACATCCAAATTACAAAACACGGGATTTGGGGTGCCTTCCCCACCCCTGCCCGTGGGAGAAAAGCGCCCCACCCCTTCCCACTTATTTTTACTTATGTATTAAAAAATGTTTACGAAGTATTCGTTTAGATCGCTGTTTTCTTATATGCGAGAGCCGGAATTTGTTTGCTTGCTAGTATGCTTAAAAATGGTAAGCACTGCCAAGTGGAATTGAGAGCTATTTGGCCAACGCTACAAAGCAGGGTTCTTGTTATTCAGTTTACAAGTCTTATGGAAAGATACAACCGGTCATAAAAAATTAGGCCTCTGAACAGATCTCAGCAGGAGAAATCAAATAAATATAATATTTTCAGGTACAGCATAATTCTTCAATGCAAGTAATGTCACATCTGTCCAATATCTCTCAGGTGTTTGCTAGACTTTATGTTATGCAAAAATAACTATTAATAGATCACAAGTGAGGAAAAATAGTGCTTTTTTTTGGTTTTGTTTTTGGTCTTTTTGAGACACGGTCTCGCTATGCAGTTCAGGCTGGCCTTGAGCTCACTTTGTAGCCCAGGCTGGCCATGAACTCACAACGATCCTCCTGCCTCAGCCTCCCTCCCGCGTGCTGGGATTACAGGCGTGCGCCACTGCGCCCGGCTAGTGTTTGGTCTTAATGCTGTTTCTAACGAGGGGCACCAGCTCACATGAGTTACTCTTCTGTAGAACAAACCACCCAGCCACCTAAGTACACGCAGAGCCTTAGGATGTTCTTACTTGCGGTGTTCCGGGCCCCGTCCAGCCCCAGCCTGCCTGCCTGGCTGGCTGTCGGATAAGCCGGTCTTTCTGACATATGCACACCCACCGCATCCCCTACTGTATCTGGAAACGCTGCATCATCCTGCACGGTCACTGGGCAGCGGGAACCTGACTCACTACAGCTGTGCCAGCACAGAGGGGAGCCCCGAGAGCTCTTCCCAGATGTCGCAGTGTAAACGCCTTCACCGCAAGGTTTACACCACCCCCGGGAAATACAAAAGGCCTTTGTAAGCTATAGGCTTTCTAGAAAGGAATACCTTTTCAGTTTATTTTGTTCAAATTCAGGAAGTCTAGATTAGAAGCAAAAACTCCAAGAATGTATGTGGAAGACCAAAAAGGCAGAATAATCAAGATACAGGGGAACCCTACTGCCAACATGGAGTCTAAGAATCTCCCAGCAGGTGGCCTCATACGACTAAGGAGGGACACGGCGGCAGACCCTCAAGCCCCACGGTCCCCAGGAGCTTAAAAGGAGTCTCTGCAAATATCCAGGAGTGACTAAGGGAACCTGTCTGGAAACAGGCAGAATGTCACGTCCTGCTACAGCTGAAATCTCTGAAATCTTTTACAAACTAAATTCAGTGCTACTCATGGAGGAAGGAAGGGATGCAGCTTTAGAATTCCACAGGAAACCCTTTGATAGCTGATGTGGTAAGGATCACAAGGCTTTCAAGGTGCTATGTTTTGTCAGGCCAAACTATCTCCCACGCTCATTAACCGAATATGTTCATTTGTACAGCATTTAAATGGCCACTTCCTGCTAAAGAGAAAAGACAGTGAGATACACTAGGAATTATCACAAAGTGTGTTCCTACCTTGTAGTCATATATTCAGCTTTGTGACCTGCAAAAAAAAAAAAAAAAAGATTTAAAATAAGTAAGTTGAATGGAATTAGTGGAATATATTTGGTAATCTTTTGTGTCATCTGCCCCTTATTTTAGGATGCTGGGTTTATAACAACTTACACATTTTATGGTAGAAAACATAAGAATAGCATATGAAAATAAACAAGTAATTCAATCAATATTTCATAAAATTTACCCGTAACACTGAACAAATTCTATAGATCAGAGAAACATATTTCACACGGCAATTTGAGGAAGCAGTTTTTAAGGACAAAATTTCTCGGTCATGACTCATTTTAAACACAAAATACAAATAACACAAGTCTCAGATTGGCATGTTAGTTATTCCTCCTGTCTTAACTGATACTTCTCTGGGAGGAGTAGGAGGTCAAGTAGGATTGAGAGAATTCATTTTCCTTCTGACTACATTGATATTTTTTTCTCTGATGTGAAATCCAGGGACTGGGAGAGAAGCTGTATTCTATAATCAGAAATGACATTTTCAGATAATAACGTACGAGGACATTAAATGACACTATATTCCAATAACTTGTAAGCTAAAAGCCTTTCATAGAATTCTGTCACTTAGAACATGAGCTGCTTTTATACACTGGGCTTCTTGAGTTGCTTTAAATAACAGGGCAGAATTTTTAGAGCCCTCTCACAATCTGCACTAATTTTAAGTCTGCATGTGTCGCTGTCTGCTGTCTGCTCTCCCTTCCATTCAGGGTGGAGCCACGAGAAGGGGTGTGGGAGACTTGAACCATTCAGCTGATGCGTTTGCAAAATGCTGGGATGGTCCTGAAAGAGCTTGAAAATACAGCTGATAGCGGAAGGTCACACGACAGCACAGACAGGTGAGCCAGTCCACTGGGTCAGAACAGAGACTCAGACTTACAGGGCAAGACCAGCGTAACGGCCGAGGGGAGGGCTGTGCTGCGGGAGCGCCGGACGAAGACTCCCAGGCTGCCACAGAGGCTTTCACTTTCTTACTTACTTTTGAAGAACAAGCAACATAAAGATATTTGACTAGTACTTATTTATTAAACCAGGGGGAGCAGGTAGTATCAGACAATACCTTTCTCAATATGGTCCGGCCACTGTCCATGCTGGCAGAACTAGTTCTTAGGCAGGCGGGGGGTAGGGATGTGGGGGATGGGGGAGGACCTGATCCCCTCTCTTTTACCCAGTCCCACCTATCATTTAACCAGGGCCCCTCCTTTTGGGGGCCTTTTGCCACTTAGAAGAGGTGTACACAGAAGCCCAGACAAATCTATAGGTGCATGGGAAATCGAGGGTCAGACAGCGAGCTTGTCGCGGTGCGCGGTTACGCTAATGAAGTGTCCGGCAGGAGGCTGGCTAGGCAGCATTAAGGCACAGACAAAAGGTTGCACTGGAGACGAGCATCTGCTCAGGTTGTGTCGGGCCGCAGGAGCTGGCCCCGGGAGACGCAGTAAAATGCCCGGAGCTGGAAGGGAAACTGTCTGGTGCTGCAATGTACCGTCACGTTGCATATTTTATTATGGGATAAAAATAGGATCTAATGTAATTAATAACAACAGTAAAAACAGCAACCGTGTTTAATACCTATCAGACAACATTCTAAGTGTTCTTAATACTATGTTAAATACTTTAACTCATAATTTTCATAATCATCTAAGGAAGCAGCTGCTCGTACTGTTATTTTTACAGAAGAAAGTGCGTGCACAGAAAAATGACTTGCCCAAGGTCCCGATACTGCCTTGGGGTGGTTTGGTACTAGGGTCTAGGTTTGTTACAGTTCTAGACCCGTGGTCCTAAGTTCTACATTGTATTACTTTTACAACTAGAAAGACCTTTTTTCCCTGGAAAATACTTTGAATGATCCTAGAAGATACAAGGCTTGAACTTCTGCCTACCTTGTGTGGCTAAAGCCTGAAGATACAAAATCCTGAAGACTTGGATAAGTTTAATAAATTACATGAATATGTAACTATCACATATCTGTACACATGAATAACAGGTTGTTTTCAAGTGACTCAATGCTAATGATGCTAATGGTAATTGCTTAGGAATGAAGTATTTTAAAAACTGGAAATTGTACTCTCTCTGTTAAAACAGTCCAACCAATTATTCCCTAAATTTAGAAAAAGGTAACATAAAATTGCTTCAAATAATTTTCTTCATCTATGGTTAGTAGTATGATAAAAAATTAAAAACCTATCAAAGATACATTTTGAATAATGAACCCAAAGCAAGCTTTGCAAGTGCTGTCATTCACAGCACAATCCCCCCCCACCCAGCGGTTTTTCAGTGCAGAGTCCTGAGTGTGTCTCAACTGACAGACGAGACGCTATTTTTTTAGTCAGTGTGATCATTAATAGATCAATAACACACAAGCTTAGATGATTCTCCCTCCCAGAGAAATGTGAAAGCTTCCAGTGGTCTGAGGAATAGATTTCAATCACTTTCTTTGGGAGCCTACTGAATTATTAAAAACAACAGAACCTCCTCACACACACATACGTGTAAGCCACCTGGAGGAAAAAAGTGACCCTGGAAATCTAGGATTCACTTATTCTTGGCGCAACACCAGCCTCAACTAGTTGAAGAGCTCACTTGAGAATTGTGGCATGCATTATTTTTTGCACCTAAATGCATTTGATTTCTCTACATAAAAGGCAAAAGTCAAAATAAGTTTGGGGGCAACTTGAGAAAAAAAAGCTAGCGGAAATATTTAAAATACAAATAGCTCCAACTAGACAGAGACACCCTGGGTTTGTTCCCCAGCGAAGGACCTCTGAGGACTCTCGGCATGACTGTCCAGCCCTTTTTCCTCCTTAAGAATACCAACCACTGCAGTGCTTTGCTAAAAAGAAATAATTATTCACAATCAGCTTCTCTTCTGAACGTATATTTGTACTCCTACTCGAAGACAGACAAAAGAGTGTGTGAAGACAACCTATTTAATTCCTTTGTCAGGAATCTCACGCCCAGGGCACAAACACCCGTAATATGGAGCTCAGCTCCCACCAACAGATTTTCGGTGTTTAGCAAAATTACACAGATATTTACACCCTCTTAACTCCACACGGTGCACACGGAGAAGCCAATGGGAACATTAGGCTCGTTACTGAAAATGAAAAATACCCTTCCATGCCCCAGGGTTACGGACATGTATCTCACTGCCTGGTCAGTCTAACCTCAGTTTAAAACTGAGTGACACCATAGGATACGATGGCGCTGCGGAGGGGGCAGGATGGCAGCGATGAGTGTGGTGCAGCTGTTCGTTCTCCGTTCCTATTTCAATAATCCTCAAAGACCTAAAATTCTGAATTTTGACGGTGCTACTTTAAGAGCCTGATGCAGTTGCTTCACAATGCTGTAAATCAAAGAACTTACTGGGCCGTTGGTGGCCTGCCAAAAGCGAGCAGCAAGGCAGGCCAAACACATGTCTGGAGTTACGGTTTCGGCTGTGTATGATCAACTGCTAAATCCCTGGGTTAGGCTCTATTTGTTTTACTGTGAATGCAGTTTTTGCAGCCGTGAGTCTCGTAGTATTTAGTGAGGTGATTTCTATCTAAAAACCCAAGGCTGTCCCCAAACACAGCATTAAGTCCTGTACTACTAACCTTGTTCAACCAAACAGGCACTTGGATTCTTTCCTAGGGGCTCACCACTGGATTACTTCACCGCGGGCCAGGAGCCATTAGCTCTCCCAGTCTCCTCTGGTGTAAGCCTATTAACGCGAACAGGGCTTGTGCGGAAAGCCAGCGGGCTCGCAGTGGTCAGGCTGAAAGGTAGGCATGTGTCCCACGCTCAGCTCTCCTCTGACTGCCAACCCCAAGCAGTGAGCAGCAACTGCAGGCTGCCAAGCCCGCGAGAGGGCCAGAGCCGGGGCTGGGGGCCTGCAACCCGCGGTCGGGGCCAGCGCGGGCCGCGGCTACCAGGCAAGGGCCATCCCCTCCTTGCTGCAGAATAAACCGAGTCCGGGGAAGGCCCCGAGCACCTGAACACAGCTGTCTCTCTCGCACCCTGGAGCTCACAAGATAAAGGAATCCTGGCTCAGAGTGTACAGAGTTTACTAGTTTTACACAGGGCAACAGCAAAAGACAGAATCTGGCGTACAGATTCAGCACATTGGCCAAAATAGTGCCCCATCCAAAAATGACATGTAAAATAACATCAGCTGCTGGCTCTTTCTTTCTAGGAGACACAAGAAAATTTATGTTGCGTGAGTACCGTAAACATTTCAGAACGTGGCTCCAGGCCACATCAACACATCCGTACACATCACCAAGGGAACACACCCTCTACTTCATCCTCGCAATCGCAATTTCTAAAGTGGTAACCATCCTCGCAGGAAGGATTTTGTGCCTGTAAGCATTCTTCTACGCTTGGGATAATTTACACTTCGAGGCTGGCAACTGCCTGTGAGGGCACTGCTTGAAATATGAGGCACTTGTTCTTTTGTTTGTTTTTCCGGTACCGGGAATCGAACTCACGACCTTGCGCTTGCAGGCAGGCGCTGTGCTGCTGAGTTAAATCTCCAACCCCAACACACTTGTGAAAAAACGAAAAAAAGAATTCACGTGATACTACGAGGGAAAAAGAAAAAGGAACCAATTCCTCAAGTAAGAAAAATATTCAGCCAGGTGTGCAGGCCTGTAATCCCAGCACTTGGGAGGCTGAGACAGGAGAACTGCTGACAGTTCAAGGCCAGCCTGGGCTCTGTAGTGGGTTTTGTGGTGATCAGTATGCAGCCTGAACTGTAGAACGAGACCCTGTCTCAAAAAGAAAAAAAAAAAAGAGAGCCAAAAGAAAAAAAAAAATCAAAGATAAAAAATTTTTTTCAAAAAAATTCTTATCTATAGAATAGTTGAAAGTATAGTATAGGGAATATCATTATACTTTTTATTTAGATTTCTTAATTGTTAATAATTATGAAATTGGCTTCATCCCCCCCATATGTCTTTTTTTTTTTTTCCCCTCCCAGAATCACATGAAAGCAAGCTATAGACATTATGACCTTTCAGAGAACATTCTTTACAACCATAGCACCATAATCACACATAAGAAAATTAACATTAACTCAGTAGTATCATTTAATATAGTCTATGTTAACATTTTCCATTATGCAAGAGATATTCTTTTTAAGACTTACTTTTTGATTCAGCATTTAATGAAGATGTATACATCTCCTCTAGTTACTTTATTCTTTTACACACTTTTTAGTAGTTTAACACATTTCCACTGGCTTGTATCACGAGTGGTACATGCATGACTGTCCCATCGGGTGCCTTGTACCACCGGATGGGACAGTCCCATGCCACCTGGTGGGACAGTCATGCATGTTCCACCCGTGGTTCAGAGCCTCCTGGCTGCAGACATATGAATTATGAATGTTCCTTTCATGAATGTTCCTTTTTTCTTAGGTAAAATTGGCCTTTTTTCTTGGTGTCTGCCCTTTACCTCTGTAACACATGGAGCCTTAGGTGACAATAACTTTTCCTCCATGTGGTCAGATTCTCTGAGGATAATTCTTTGGAGGAAACCATAAAATAAGTATTGTGTTTTGGGCAAGGAAGGTTCCAGAACGACAGGAGGCAAGAGTTTCGGTCTAAGGGTGGCGATCTTTTTTGACCTGAGTAACTCACACCTCATTTCCTCTTATTTCCCACACCGTCTCACTTTCTTTTGGTTTTTTGTAACTTACACCAAGATGTGTGAATAAAGTGCAATTAAATTTACAGACTCAGAGGCACTTAAGACAGGGACTTTGCCTGTGTTTTTTCTCTTTTAAATTTCATGCAGACAAAAAAAGAAACAATAGGGTTTATATAATCCCTTTTCCCAAGAGTCCATTTTCCCCTCAGTGTCCTCCTTTATAAAAATGAAGGAACTCACAGCGCCCACTGAAGAATATAGCTCAGCACAATGCCTGCCACAGAGGAAGCCTTATGCAAGTATTACCTCTTGGTGTTATTTGCATTATTAGACGCAGCATTCTGTTTATACTACTGGATTATTTCTCAACTACCAGCAGTGTCTAATGAAAAGCAAAAAGAGTCATCCAAACTGGTTTAGCTGGTTTCTGGTGTCCAAAAAGGCCACCGAGGAGGGAACAACAAATACCAGCCCGTTAAAACAAATGGGTGAGGGGCTGGGAGTTTAGCTCAGAGGCACAGCGCCTGCCTGGCAAGTGTGAGGTCGTGAGTTCGATTCCTGGTACCGGAAGAAAAAAAACAAAAACAAAAACCAAACGGGTGATGCGGAAGGGTGGAGAAGTCAAGAAGAAGGGAAAAAGCAGCTGGGGTCAAACACAGAAGCAGGGGCAGCTCCTCCGGACTGTACTAGGAGCGCTATGCTCTGCGATCCCACGTGAGGTCCGGTTTAGTTCCTCAGCCCTCCCCAGGGTTACCATTCTTCCTGACGTCCACTACCACGCTTAAAAAGAGAATCGTTCCGGGGAGAAAACCCGATTATCACAGACACAGATAAAACCTAATCTAAACACGGAGTTGTTTCTGCCTAAGTCACAAACATGATTCACCCTCTGCATGGAGCAGGCTCATGACTCACTGTACAGCCCAGGTCATCTTCTCAGCTAGTCCAAGCAACTGACCTTCCCCCAGGGTCTTTTGCAGCAAGTCATGCTTGGCGTGGAGCTTTGTGATGAGGTTACTGCCTTCCAAATATTCTTTGAGTTTCTGCAAAAGGCAAGACCAATTTTTATTTTTTTTAAAGAACAGTTCAGTGTTAAGGAATTTCCCAGACAGATCTGAAGTCTGGCCACCTTCATCTCCTAGAACCTAGCATTCTGGTACCCAAGCCGCACCTGTGAGATGCACTGCCGCAGCCCCTTCCCTGCCCAGACCCACAGCAGCCAGAACCTACGTTTAACAAGCTCTCCTGCTGATGTGTACGTATGTTAAAGTTTAAAGCTCTTGTTTGAAAGCAGTCCTAACCCCTACACTCCTAAACTGCATCCAGACCGACTAGGTCAGGAACCCCGAGAGGCCAGCAGTCTGTTTTACTGAAGCCGGCTGACGGCCGTGAGGCAGCTGCAGGAGCGGCGCCGGGGAAGCCCAACCCGGGCTCTGTCGGGAGTGACCGGGGAAGCGATGTCGCACCATGAAGTAGAACTGCTCGGTCTCCTGCTGGTTTGCCCTCCTCTTGGCGATGCTGGGCTTACTCAGGTAGGTCTCAGAGACAGTGGACTTCACAGACTCCGTGGAGCGGCTGTGCTGGAAGCACTCGGACACATCATAGTCCTCGATGGTCACCATGTCTTGTATCGTTTGCAAGGTGGCTTCTGTCGTCTTCTTAACCTGGGAAAAGAAACGCGTTTCTCACGTTAGTGCGTTGCTTCATGGATCCCACACATACTCAGCGACCGTCCGCTCCGTCAGGCAGGGCCGGGGAGCACGGGCCCAGCTCCCAAGGAGTTCAGAATTTATCGGGGAAAGCTCAGCGGTATCGCAGGATTGAGGGGAAGGGTGAGAAAGACGGGGAAACATGTTATGTACAGGCACAAGTTCCCTCTGATGAACGTGATCATTATGTATGTCAAAAATGCACCAATAAGGGGCTGGGGATTTAGCTCAGCGGCAAAGCGCCTGCCTGGCAAGCGCAAGGTCGTGAGTTCGGTTCCCGGTACCAGAGAAAAACCAAAAAAAAAAAAAAAACAAAAAACAAAAAACAAACAAAAAATGCACCAATAAAAAAACAGTACTGCATATTCTCAATAAAAGGGGAGAATTTCCTTAATCCTAAGGTGGAAATCACTTTCTATTTGAGCTCTTATAAACCTCACAGATCGTTAGACTCCCTCACCATTACTTCCGTGCTTTAAATAACCTTCTCAATGGAAGCAAAACTACATACAGAAAAATACACAGACCATAAGTGTACAGCTTGATGGATGATCAGAAAGTGAGTCTATCTGGGACGAAACCAGTACCTCATGAGCCCCCGAGGTACTCCCAACCACCTGTCTTCCCTCTGAGACTTATTTCTATTATTCTGATTTCTAACATCATATATTAGTTTTGTTCTTTATACTTTACATAAATGCAATCTTTTGAGTTTTTTTTTGGTACCAAGAATCGAACTCCGGACCTTGTGCTTGCCAGGCAGGTGCTGTGCCTCTAAACCATATCCCCAGCTCCAAAAATGAACCTTACAGCCTGAATGATGTCTGTCTTGCTTCTTCTCCTCAGTGAAATTCATTCATGTTTTCTTAGCATAGTAGTTCACTGCGGAATATGCACTGTCAGAATACATCGTAAGTGACCCCTTTAACTACCGACAGGACTCATTCTTAGTTTTGCGCTACAATCAATGTTTTTATGATCATAATTTTGTTGAGCCACACATACATGAATGGAACTGCTGCTCACGGGAGACGCCTGACTCTTCCCCGAAATGACTGGTACAGTTTTTACTTCCACCAGCAGGGAGAAGAATGCCTGTTACTCTGCATCCTCCTCAACAGTTGGTATTGTTAGTCTTTTTAACTTACACATTGTGTTAGGCGTGCAATGGTATCCGCCCACGATTTCAATATGCATTTCTCCGACGTATGAGATGGAATGCATTATCACAGGTTTGAAGCACTTTGGACCTCCTCCCTTGGGAATACTTTGTTCCAGTCCCCTGCTCAATTTTCTACTTGGGGGGCTGGGGATTTAGCGCAGCTGCACAGGGCCTGCCTGGCAAGCGCAAGGTCGTGAGTTCAATTCCCGGTATCACAAAAAACCCCCCAAAAAACAAAAAAACAATTTTCTACTTGGTTAAGAGTCTTTTTTGCCCTGATTTGTAGATATGAACATGAGCCCTTTACTAGTTATACATGTTATGAATATCTTTTCCAATTCTGTACTGCCACTTTGCACTATTTTATTGTTGCAGAGATGAGCACAGTCGCTACTTTTAGTGTAATCAATTCATCAATTCTTTCCTTTATGAACAGTGCTATTTGTGTCCTATTTAAAAAATATTTTCCTATCTCACGATTGCAAAGATACTGGTCTATTTTCTAAGAGCTTACTTATTGTTTTTAAAAATTCAAGGGTCACATCCCACTTTCACTTATAAAAGTCTAATGTAAATTGATAGCTTTATCTTTCTTCCACACACTGTAAAGAATTTAGAATGTTTTATTTCCATTCAACCTCTTGATTAATATGCAATTTTATAATGTACTGTAACAGGATATATGTAGATAAATATGTATATCTGAATGATATTATTGTTTTATATAACCAGTAGACATTTAATTTATTCATATATTATGCTCTTTGATTTCCATTCCTTATATGTTAAGAGGATCCTTCAGAAATTCTTTTTAGTATGAATCTATTTCATTGACTTGAAAATATCTTTAATTTCACCTTCATTTACGTAAGGTATTTTTCCTGCTTGGCGTTCTCACATGGCTTCCCTGTTCCTGCTACGTGAGAAGTTCCCCATCAGTCTGTTACTACTCTGAATGAAATTTACTTTCTTTAGTTGCTTTACCCGCTTCTACTCATCTTTAGGTTTCTACAGGTTTACTATGATGTGTCTAAGTAAGGACTTCAAAAATATATTGTGTCTGGGATTGTTCGGGGATGCTTAAATCTGAGTCATTTTTCGTAAGTGCTGCTAACTTCAACCACTGACTCTATCGTTTATCCGGGAGTTCAATTCCTGTGCTTCCCAATTTTCTCTTGATCTCTTATTTTCATCTTTTGTGTTTTCTATCTTTTCTACACTGGTTTTGACTATTTTCCTCTGATTTGTCTTTTACTTTGATAATTAATTCTTCAAGTGTGTCCAGTGCAATGCTAAAACCACTCAGTGAATTCATAATTTTAGTTGCTCTAGATCTTAGTTCTGGAAGCCTATGTGGTTCATCTCCAAATAGGTTATTTCACTCCTTAGTGTTCCCAGCTGAAGTCAAAGCTTGACTTTCATATCCCTGAATACTATAAACAGTTTATTTATAGTTTGTTTCTGATAAGCCCAATAGTGGGAGCTCCTGCAGATCTGCTGTGTCATTATTTCTTCTAGCTACTATTCACGGTTTCTTGCCTCCTCACATGTCGAATTCTTTGTTGCACACGTGGAGTTATTTGAGACCTCCAAAGAGAATATTTACTTTCCTCAGTTACTGAGAGTGCTAGTAAATCCGAATCACTGGATTTTATTGGTTTGAAACAGTGGAAGATAGAGGTCCCTGTGCCTCGGGTTTTAGCCTTAGCCATGCACTTTGTCTGGGACAAAGACTTGAATGGAAGAATCAAATTTCTTGACTCTCAGGCGTGGTGCCACATGCCTGTAATTCCAGCACTCAGGACGCTGAGGCAGGAGGATTGCTGTGGGTTCAAGGCCAGCTTGAACTACACAGCAAGACACTCTATCAAAATAATTTTTTTCTTGAGTGACTCAGTCCACTATTACAAATGTGGAAAATTTTAAATTACTTCTAAAATGAAATAACAACATATTGTTTTGGAAAGAAACAACTGCATTTGAGTTTGGGTGCTTCAAAAGCTCATACGACAGGATTACTAAAAAAAAGAGGCAAACAAATTTAATAGACTTAGCCGTTATTTCTAGGAGTATGCAAAATGCAAAGGATGGGTATTCCTAGAAAAAGCGTATTAAAGATCAGTTTAAAAAACAGTACTATGAATAGTAGCTTTAAGGAGGTCAGGATTATCTATCTGTATATTGGATTAGAAGACCCACTACCCTCTGTTAGTCAACTGGGTTCTGTGGCTTGTGGGAAATTTCTAATCACAGCACGACGCCCAAGTCACAAGGGACTATATCTAAAACAAGCAGATGTGAGGACGGGGTACTCTGGTGTTCTGACGCTCAAAATGTGTTAATGAGAAACACGATATGAGCTCACGTGAAGAGTCTCTGCAAAACTATGAGAATGAGAAATAATAGTTCAACATTAACACATTATTCTGTATATTATGTTAGGTGTTTATGCCCCACTAAGTTAACAAATAGTTCAGTGGCTCTTTGATTACTTTATATCTGTGTAAGCTTTTACTTAAGCCTATACACAGTAACTGAAATGCTATTAAACGCTATTATTTCTTCACATAATTTAACTCCTAACAAATGTGTAGGAAATCATGGAAGACAGAGCACACTGTGTGTTTTGAGGGGTTCAGGGTGGCACTGTTGAGAAGGTGACTTCTGGGCTACCTTCCAAAGGATGAGCTGGCATTCATTGGAAAAAGAGGTCTTCCAGGTAGAAGAAATAGTGAGGGGAGAGAACCTGGCCTCTTAGAGATCCAAGTGGTTCTACACAGTGTATGAATAGTGGGAGCGTAGAGCAGGGAGCGGAGATGATGTGCTAACCGAGGCCCTAAAAGCCACACGTAATTATGAATCAATAGAGACGCTGATATCTACAAGGAATGGGAGTGACAACTCAGGTTTATATTTTGAAAAGATTTGCGAGCTGATGCACCATGAAAGGGAAAGACACAACAGGTGGGGGTGCTGGGGATTTAGCTCAGCGGCACAGTGCTTCCTGGCAAGCCCGAGGTTGTGAGTTTGATTCCCGGTACTGGGAGAAAAAAAAAAAAAAAAAAGAAACAACAGGTGGGAAAGTTGAGTCAGGGGACTTTAAGACGATAAGAGATTGATCTGAGAAGTGACACCAGGAATGAGAACAACAGGCCACATTTGAAAAACGTTCATGCAACACAAGTGGAGCATGCGTCTTTTTTGGCAAGTGGCTTAAGTGAAAATAAGTAGGTACTATAGGTAAATAGGTATGGTACAGCAAATCTTCAAGAGATTTAGAAGGTTAAAAAAATATATGATGCTCTTAAGATACTGGTGGAGTGGGGCATATGAATAAAATTACGTAGGGTGTGATAAGGTGCTTGACATGTTTCTCACTAAAACAGTAACAAATTAAAGACAAAGGAGACGGTTCCCAGGGCCTGGGATATAGCTCAGTCACATAAGTATCTGCCTGGCAAGCGCAAGGTCCTGAGTTCAATTTCCGGTACAAAAAAAAAAGAGAGAAGGTTCCCCAAACCAAAACTAGGAAGAAAAAAAGACCCCCCCCCATACCTTAGGTTTGTTTATAAAACCTAATAAAACAAAAAATCACCATGGGTAAAAATAAAAATCTGCGCATGTAGTTTGTTTTGAAATGATCTGTAAATCTGCTGGAATTTGGCATCGAACGTATGTTCACTCAGTGTAGGAGACAGCAGGGCTCAGAGCGCTGTTCCGCCGACCCTCGCTCCGAGGGCAGCACAGGAGGGCAGCAGCGTTACTAAATACACACCTACGGGACGTGCACACG